GTCACAAACAAAGGACAGACAACACGGCAGCACCACTGTCTTCAAAACTCCAGCTTTGCTGAGCTCCGGTGTGAAAACACACGCTCAAATGTGACCCTGACATGGTTGCAGCGAGCACCGCAGTTGCCATTTTGGCTCCGTCGACACCCTTGCCAGGTGCATCGCCTGGAATTCGATACCATCGCCAGTCGAGTCCTGTCGTAAAATCCCATTTCCATGAACCCATTTTCCTAAATAAATAGGCAAAACAGCCCATTATAATTATTCAATTATCTGTGGCCGGAAAATGGCGTCCCGTAGTCGGCGAGCTGTGCTATCGCTGACGACGCGCTTCTGCCTGCCTCATGAGGGCATGACAGCGCTCGACTACCTCAGCAGGTAATACTACCATATTCTCCTGCATCTTCTTCTTCCAACAATTTACTTCTTGCCCCCAGTTCCCTCTCTAACCACTCCAATTTTTCACTAACCCAGTGGTTCGGCCGTCGTATTGCACGACTCCACAAGCCCCTCGCTGGCTGTCGTCACGTGCCAGCACGTGGCGTGTCCCTGGCTGTTTCCCAAGTACTTCACAGCCACATGGGACTGGTTGCAGTTTGTGAACGAGGACCACGTGCGTCATTCACTCCAGCTTCTAGCTGTAGACGACTCTAATTCCAGGCCGGAGGTGCTGCTGGAACTGCCATTGGCTGCTCAGGTGCACACACACGAGAGCCGCGACCTAGCGCTGTTGACTCTGAAAGATTCAGCTGCTCTTGGGAGCTGGCAACAGGTAGAACAGGAGCTCGGAGTACAGACGCTGACGCTGCAGCAGCCGCCATGCGAACGCGGAGACGCCGTCGTCTTCTTAGGCCACAAACAACTAGTAAGTGGGGAGGAAGAGGAAGGCTACCAGATCCCCAAGGCCGTAACGGGACACTTCGTCGGACGCAGTTCCAGTGGACAGGAGTTCGCGTGGAGTCAGGAACTACTGGAGGAAGGAATGTGCGGCGGAGCAGTAGTCGGAGCTGCGAGTCAGTGCGTGGGCGTCGTAGAGGGAATCGTCCCCACCATTGTACAGGGAGATGATGAACCCGAGAAACATGACAGAGAGGCCCATGCGGCGTGGCAGATGCGGCAGGCACTGGCAGGTCACGTAGCTTTCATCCCAGCGAGTGACGTGAGGAAGTTTATCGAGGAACCAGATGACTTGTTGCTCACTGGAATGGAGATACCACCGCATATTTGAGTTTAATGGAGGTGGTTCGAGCACTAGAGTTAGATAAAGGCCTGAACTACCTGATTGATGCAAGGATGTAGACGCGTTCTGAGTATAAGGTAATGTCTGTGCTAACGATAACGCCTATGTGACAGCTCTCTTGTTGGCGAAGGCGGAACAGGCGACAGCGAGTGCCTGGATGGGGGCCAGAGGCGCCGCGTAGTCCAACGAGAAGCGGGTTTTCGACACTTTGCCGAACCGTAGCGCTGTGCTCTCCTCCTCGTCGCCGTGTTCATTGGTTTCATGCCCGACCAGCAGGAAATTCTTCTTGGAAGCGACTTTCACGCGCCCCTGGAAGTTCAGAGTCCACGCTCCAAGTTCCTCATTCCACGAAGGCTGCTTGGTATCGAAGACAAGCAGGTCTTTCTCGTGCTCCTCCTGCTCCACTGCGCCGTACGAGATCTGCCCCATGGAGGCTGTGCGCTCTCCTCTCAGTCGAGCCTGCTTGACACGCATGGAGCGTGAGTGGCCTTCAACGTCGTCGTCGTCCAGCCAGCTTAGAGCTCCGTCTGTAGCCATCTCGAGGCGCAAGTCAAGATCGTCCAGTGTAATGCTCCTCAGCCGCTCAGTTAGCGACATGCCGCGCGATTGCTGCTGGCGATTGAATCGATCCGAGAGACTGGAATTGCGACCAAATTGTGCCTTATGGGTATTGAAGACGGCGCCGTCGCTGCCCATTCCAGACCGTTGTTGACGCAGAGATACTAGCTTGTTAAGCGCTTCCAGCTCGTCCTCAACTTGCTCGTTGACAGGCTTCGACACCACGCATTTCAGCGAATTGGGGACACGACCAAGAACGTTTGCAGTGTAAACCAGGAACGCAAGTTCATTGTCGTGATTGGTGCCGGTGTGGTGGTCGAACAACGTGAACTCCGTGCCCAGGAAGCTTGGCTCCAGACGACCCAAATACACAGCAGAGTCCTCACTTTGCGGGAGTTCACGCATCGTTCGTAGATGGGAGTCTCGCAGGGTGTGGAAGATAAACGGCCCCGTGCCGTCACTTGCACAGGACGCAGCAAGCAAGAACTCTCCTGTCTCTTCACGATGGAAATTCAAGGCAGTGACAAATTCTCCTCGTAGTCGCTCAATACATCCAAGCACCAACTCGTGGGGACTCGCGCCTTCCTTGACTTGTGGAGGTCGATAGAACCGCTGTTTGTGTTGGTGGATGAATGCTCTCGCCTGTACCACATCCTTGTCGCTCGCGTAGATGCTCAAGTCGCCAGCAGCTTCGAGGGATTTAAAGTGAAGAGTGTGACGAGATTTCCCTGCTCGACGAAGAGCTTCGAGCGTTTCCTGGAAGTTCATCTCGAGACACGATTCACCGTTGATAGCAGTGAGAACGTCGCCAGTGCGAATCATACCGCAGCGTTTAGCTGGTCCCTCGTCGCCGGCTGCGTTGATAGCACGGAATCCTTTAACTACGGCTTGACGTCCGTACCAATCCGTCTCGAGATCCAGCCCCACCGGACCTTGATCAAACGTGACGTCGTACGAATCGTAGGTTCGTTTTGGTGCTGGGTTTGGACTAGAATTGCGTGCTGTTGGACTTCCAAGCAAGAGCAGTCGGTCTAGTAGTATACCTGCGAAACCCTTGGCCTCTCCGCTCC